GCATTTGGAGTTTTCTTTTTTAGTTTTTTGGTTTGGGGTTTTTTTTTGTTTGTTTGTTTGTTTAGTATGTACAGTTGCCATCAATGAATTATAAAAGTGACATAAGCATAATAATTCCTGGGGTACGTTGGGTTGTGATGAGTACTTCCAGAGTAGGAATTCTCAATTTACTGGTCATGATTATACTTGGGGAGCCAGGGTGAGTGCATACTCTACAGGAATCCCACAGAAAGTCAACCTCATAAATGAAAGGTATCACTCTCCAACAAGAAATGTCACCTTGATTTTTAAGCCTTAGATTAACTATGTTTTCTTGGTGTCATTAATTTTGACTCCTGTGACTGATTCCTTTCCTGTTAACACTCTAATGAGAAGATTTTGCTTAAAGGGAAGAAAACATTGTTTTTTCCCAAAGGCAGAACAATAAGGAAAGAGAGAAGGCTCACCTAGGCACTTGCAACAAAGACTACCTATGGTCTACCTCCTGCTTTCTTATTAGAAGCTCAGACTTGTTAAATCATGTGAATTTTCTCATCAGGGCTGCATTATGCATTATACAGATCCTTGAAAAAAGTGTGCAAGCTGAACTGCTTCTGGAGTAGCTCCAGGATCCCCATGGCTGAGAGGAACTGTTCTAGTGCATCAAAACTACCTTTCTCTTGTTGGCCCAATATCCATGGGCCCTGACCATGAGGTTGGCTGAAGTGCTTTTGATAACACTTCTGCTGTCCTTACCCTGCCTGTCATACTATGAGCAGGGAGAAAGCTAGACAAGCCACTTGCTGTTGTCTAATGGCCATGGCCATCTGAGGTGTCCCAGCATTATTTCAGCCTTGCTGTTTGACTTAGAGAGATGTGCCTGGAAGGCCATGAAGAGAGGCATTGGCAAACTTTGAAGTTGTAATTCAGGCACTTGCAGAACTGCAGATGCAAAAGCAGAGCCCTCCATAGGGGTTAGCTCTGTTTTAGGTGTCAAGAAAACGGTGCTGGACACAGAAGCTGTTCAGTTTGGTTGAGGAGAAATGGTTGCTAAACCCACAGCTGCCTTCAGAACTGGCAATTAAGAAACCATCTCTAACAAGCTTTGCTACCCTTCCCTGCTGCGCTGGGATCTGTGTTACCAGTGTTCAAGTCAGCATGTGGGTCTTTGTCCTTCTCTCATCCATATTTGATCACCTCCCTTCTTTGATCTCAGACATGAAATACCTGCTTCACAGATGAAGGGATGCTCCATCCTTGGTGTGTTCACTGCCTCCTCCCTTAGCCCCTTGGTCCTGTTCCTACGTACCTGCTCTATCCCCACACTTAGATGGGATTGATTTTAGTCTTTTCAAACAGTCCTGATGCTTATCTCGCTCTCTGTGATAAGGAAAGAAGGGCAGTTCAGCTCACCTCTTTCCCCTGTGTATTCAGGGTAGGAAAACCCTCTTTCCATTTGTACCATTTGCACCATTTGCACCATTTGCACATGGGCCAAAGTCAGAAGGTAGATCAAAATCTGCTACATATAGAAAAAGACGTAAGATTCTTCACAGATCTGTAAACATCTTGCCAAAATTTTCACTGTCATTCCATGAGGTGGTTCTGCCTCATTATCTCTCATTTTTGCTTTCGCATCTCTCTGGTTTGCCCACCATTCTCTGTGTGTATGTGTACTGTATTTTAGCTTGCCTTACAAAATCCCTTAATAATAGACATAGAAAATTGTCAAATTCACAGGTATTATTTTAAATCTTTTGTATGATTATAATATTCCCACTAATGATATTTTATCTATATGACTGAAATTAATGTGAAGAGAAAAAGCCTGCTAGATGCAGCCTGGAAGCTGTACACCAAAAAGGCAGTTAGGATGGATGTGTGAATATGGATATGATTAGTTGCAGTTAGGATGATCTCCAGGGCAAGTGTACAAGTAAGTCTGCTCAAGAACATACCAAATGAAGGAAGCTTTCAGGCTGTGTGTTATCAAGACTGGAGAATATTCAGCAAAAGCTGCAGTCAGCAGCTGGCTGGGGCTCAGCCTGCATCTTTCAGCACTCATCAGTCAACATGGGGATTCACCTATGCAGTGGGATGGATTCACCCCCTCTGGCAACTGACAAGGAAAGGATTTACCCTTTAGCCAGACAACCAGACAAGGTCACAGACACCTTTGGTACAGGAGCTATGAGGCAATATGACACATCAAATTCAGAGAAATGTTTGGTACAGTCAGGTTTCTCATGGGTAGGGTGAGCAGATGAGTGATGAGGACTTTCTGTAAGTGCCAAGTGCCCTGAAGTCACACGAGGTGTGTAACACATCAAAATGTCAGAGTTTTTCCAGAAGGCAGTGTATTGGAGAGTCCCTCAACTGGCAGTAGTTGCAGGGGGATGGGAGTGTAGGGGACAGAAACAGTATCTTAGCTGTTTGTCAGAATACCAGAGGTCCACTACTATCTGGTGGCTTTGAGCATTAGTTACCTGTTTAGGGCTTGGTTTATTGTTTTGGTTTTTTGGTTTGGTTTTTTTTTTGCCTGGTCCTTTCAAGAAACAGACATTTTCTCTGTGACTCGAAATCACTTTGATTACCTCAAATGTGCCTGAAATGAAGCTGGACTGTTACCCTGTTGCATTGGTTGTGGAAAAAGGAAAATAAGTGGGGGAAAAGGGATTTCATTATAAAGTATATTTTGCTTAATTTTTTAGAGGAAATGCCAAGTCTTTTTAGATTTTAAGCAATAAAGACAAATTAAATGTTTCCTTTGCCTTTGAAGAGTTTTAGATTGTGTTCTCAAACCTTGGCTATACTTCATACAAATTTACTGCTTTCATTTTAAATGAACTATTAGATCAGAAAAATCTTATAGGGTGGAGTGTACATTCTTAAGGTGTACAAGACCTATACACCCCTTCCCCAGTGAAATATCAACAATAAAAAAACCTCAAAAGATCAATACAAAATAATAAAAACATAGCAAACTTCAGTGTTCAGTTATCTTTTTCTTATCTATCTACTTCATTTGGCTCATGTTTCTTATGCACATTTAGAAACCCCATCACCAGCAGATTGGCTTTAACAGAAAGCTGGACTTCTAGCTTAGAATCTGTGATTTATGTCATGAAATATTAGATTTTTAGATACTCTAATAAATATCTTCAGTTCTCATTTAGTTGTAAATCTTGCATTACATTTTTTATTCTTATAAACAAATATAAATGATCAGGAAAAAAAACTGAATTGGTGATATCTCACTAGCAAAACTCCTTCCAGGAAACTCTGAGGATGAAGAGAACATTACTAGCTTTTCTGGCAAAAATTAGGTTTATAGAATCACAGAATCATAATCATAGAATAGTTTGGGTTTGAAGGGACCTTTAAAGATCATCTAGTCCAAACCCCCTGCAGTGAGTAGGGATACCTTCAACCATAGCGGAACAGACTAGCTAAATGGACAGTGGGGTACGTGGAAAACTGGCTGAATTGCCATGCTCGAAGGCTTTACTGTCAGGGTGACTGAGCACTGGAACAGGTTGCTCAGGGAAGCTATGGAGTCTCCACCAGTGGAGACATTCAAAACCTAATGGGGCATGGGCCTGAGCAACCTGCTCTAGCTGATCCGGCTCTGGGACTAGACTGGAGGACTGGGTGTTCTCCAGAGGTTCCTTCCAACTTTAATGATTCAGTGGTTCTGTTTGTTTAGATGTAGAGATACCATGTCTACCTGAGCATTTCTACTACCAGGTCAAGCTGCCCAGCTAGTAGGAATATCATCAAGGAAAAATGAAAAAATTGATACTGAGGGGGAAAATAGCAGAATATTTGTTTTGGTGTTGAAAGTGAAAACACATTCACAATGTAAAAATGAAGCGTTTTTTTAAAAAACAATTATTGCAAAAGCTTGAGCTGAATAAACACACTTCATTGGAATTTAACAGCCTCAAAACATACTACTGTTGTGGTTTTCTTCCCCAGGGCAACTTGTTTGTTTCCTCGAAAGTGTGTGGTATAGCACTCAGAGAGCTGAGAGTGTACTGGGTTTCACTAGGCACGTTACTTATTTTTCCATTTTTCAAAAAAAAAGTAATCATGTTTCCACCTTTTGTAAAGCAATTCCAGATCTGAATATGAAACCAAATGTAGGTATTTATATTCTGTGCACTGACATTATTTTTTTAATATTAGGATAATTATGTGAATAAAAATAATGAGAAAAGAGATAAGAATGTACATGATACTCAATTTTTGTATCGACTTCTGTGTCACTGAAATTTAGGCATTTAGCATTAAACCTTTTTGACTCAGTTGTGAACCCCTGTTTATTTCATCACACCTAAGAAACTAAGTGAATAATAGACAGCTAATTAAATATAAACTCCCCATTCATTCTGCTACATGCCAGTGACTGCTGAATAACAGGAAAGGATCTGGAAAGGAAGAGATTACAAACAGCTGTTTAACAAAAGCTGTGTTGAGCCAGAACAGATATTGCTAAAATATTTGCTTATGGCAATGCAGACATCTTCAGACCAGGTTCACAAAGAGCTGATAGACCTGAGCTTGTTCAAGTTTATTTTCAGTGGATTTGAGTCAATGTGAAAAGTAGTCCTTGTTGAGAATTTCAGTGGCAAGACTTTCTATACAGAGTGGAATAAATATGGAGAGAGAGATATTTTAATTTTAAGTCTGAGAAGGAAATGAGAGAGGAGTGGTTGTAATGCTAAAGCATATTCCGCACTGGTACGGTGAATGAATAAAAACTATTATACTCATGCCATCACTCAACTTTTCTCATAAATGCTTAAATGCAACGATGTAGTTCTGTGTATAACAACTTTCAATGAAGCTACGTTAATTAAAGTGGTAATGGTTTTCTTTTCATTAATATTTACATGATTTGTTTGGGAAAACTCACTTTTCACTTGTTTTCAGCCACATCTGTACCAGACTGTACGGAGGCTGAGGGATCTGTACTTTTGTTTCAATGTATATTGCAACGTTTTTATTGCATTCCACAGGTCCTCCAGTAAACGTTACTTGCAATATTTTTATCAACAGTTTTGGATCAGTCACAGAAACCACAATGGTAAGTGCTATGATGCCCTTGGCAAGAGAACAACAGTACTTAATATATGTCATGAACACAACCTGTCAATTTTTCTATTTATTGTTCAACTTGCAGGTCCTCCTGTAAATGTTACCTGCAACATATTTATCAACAGCTTTGGTTCAATAGCAGAAACTACAATGGTGAGTGGGACTGGTCATTGAAGCCATCTTGTGAAGGAATGGGATATGATGTAGAATAGAGATGCTCAGGACATAGGGACGTTCCTAAGTTATTAAGCTACTACAAGCCTACCAGCTGAATTAAAATAAAATAAATATAAAACAACTCTATAAAGAGATATATAAATCATTAAACTCAACTACCAAGTCTAAACATACCTACATAATCTGTACTGACTGTAATGGTAGCAAATATAGGTGAACATAAACCAGTTTTTTCAGGTTTTATTAGCACTGAGGAGGCAGACGAATGGCTGGAGCTCAGCTGTGAAGGTCCCTGCCAAGTACTCCATATTTTGAGTGGGTCTTACACCACATGCTGAATTATCTGCTGCTGCAGATTGCGCTGACAGAACTGCCAGAACGGTCTTGTTTAACTTCGCTAAATCTCTGTGTATTGCAGCCACATCAGTAAATGAAGTGAATGCATAACTTGAGTTAAATGACTAAAACATATTTTTCTATAGAGAAACTTGAGTATTTTGAGGGTTAAGTTGGTACTAGGGATCCCAGCTGACTGAAATGTGTATTTTGACTGAATTTAAAGAACACTATCAGTCAAAAAATACGCCAAAATGAAAATGTCAGAGTTTTAATTTTGTTATATATAAAACTAAATAGCTCCATTTTTCATGTCAAGATGAGATTTTTCTTTTAAAAATTGCCAAAATTTAGGGATAAAGGAGACAAGCTGAAAAATGGAAATGAAAATTTTAGTCCAACTTTTTTCTGGTTTGCTCTAGACATGAATTTTCTTTTCTTTCTTTTTTTTTTTTTTTTTACTATTTGCTAAGAAAAATTAAAATATCTTTTCTGAGCTATTAAAAAAGATACCAAAATTTTTAATAATTTTCAAACAACGAACAAAAAAGATCACTTATTTATTCAAGCATACATAGACCTGACTACTTGTGTTAGTCCAGAAAGTGATTTTTGATGGCTTTCTTACATTAATGTGATAAACCCATAATAATTATCAGGTGCTCATGTAGAAGAAGTAAGTTAAATCTATTCTAGAAAGGGCCCAGTTACAAATTCCATTTGACTTTGAACTATTCAAGTCACTGCTGCCACAAAATAAATTAAAAATGGGTGCTCTGACCTTCACTGAAATTTTGCAAGACTTATTCTCATTGCTTCAGGAGACAATAGAAAACTATGGGCCCTTCTGAAGAATTGCAGTGTAGTTTCCCAACTGTTTTCTAGGCATTGCTACATAGCATCCAGGTCTTTCCGTATTTGCTGAAGCCAGAGGTAATAAAGATGCTTAGCATCCTGTAGGATTGAGTTCTTGGTAGCTAAAAATGAATTTGCTGCACAAAAGGAATTAAGATAGATATACCAAGTAACTATTTTTTCGTAAAATTGCATAGCTACTGCCTTGTGATCTTTCCATTATGAAGAACAGAAATTTAGCCCAACTTAAATGTTTTATTTAATATTTGAATACTTTATTTAAATTCAATTGTAATTCATACCGTCATTTTAGAAAGTGATACCTAAGGAATGTCCCAAATATTTTTACTTAAAAAACCCTAGGATGTTATTTAATGTTTTCTAGAGATAAAGGACAAGTTATGCTTAGGGTAGGTTGCTTTGTTAAATAGTGTAGGAAAGACTTTTCTATAAATGACAAGCTATAACATACAGAGCCATAAAAATAAACAGATAAGTTAAACTTTAGCCTGTTTATCTGTAATATTTTAAAAACACTTAAATGAAAACCAAAACCAAGTTAAAAAATACAGGAAAAAACATATCTTGATGTAACATAATTATCAACAGACTTAATTTTTTTAAGTTTTAAACTTCTTTTTTTTCTGTTTAAAGGACTCTAGAGATGATAGCTATGAATGTAGCCTTTTTTATCCAGCCACGTCTGTTGATCCTAATGTGTAGAGGCATTAGCATAGCGTTAAGTAGCAAAAAATCCTACACGTCACTAGCTTTACAAGATGGCATTCAATGAAAATATTTGCACGACCTAATGCTGATTGCATTAATTAGACTCCTTCATTGCTTTGATTAAATCCCCTCATTGCATTTTACCTTCTATCAAATATGTTAATGTGCACCTTTCCAATGTTCATTAACACATTGTGCTGAAAACAGCCAAACATTCAAGTAGATAAAAACAAAGACTATTGGCTTTTTTATTTTGCTTTGTTCATAAGACCTGCCAAAACTGTGGAAAGATTTCTCTTAGATGCTGTTCGATGGTTTGATATTGATTTTCTTAATGCTGTCACCTCTTTAATGACTAGTGCCATCACTTTTAGGATGTTTTTAAACTGCTCTGAGAGGCACACATCAATTACTGTTGCATCTACTTTGCCTTTCTGAAATAAATGTAATCATGTGGTAAAAATGTTGTCATCCCTTGTGATAAATACTGAATTTTGTTTGACTCCTAGGATTAATTTTTCCCTATAAAATACTCTTGAGGGTCTTAACATAAAACTAAACAATTCATTTAAAACCTTGGACTGTAAATTCAATAGAGACACCCCTTTCTCAGAGGACAGGAATGTTTAGTGAAACCATGCATATGTACTTAAAGAACATTATCAGAACATAACTTGGATGATCTACAGCTGCTTATTGGAAACTTGGGAGACGAAAACATGTTTAGATAGGCTTTCAGAAGGAGAAATTAACATGGAAAACAGGATTACAGTCTCAGACCTACTAAATTCAGTAAGCCAGGTTCTCAATAACATTAACAGGAGTAGCTTCTGTTTTCTGAATAGGACAGACACCAGCATGAAATTCATTCCTTTGTGAAAGGCCAGCACAGCTCTTATGTCCAGCATGTTCTTCTAAAGACTAAACCATTTAATTTAGAAATAAAACAGGATTTTGTGCTGGTTCTCTCCAGACTGATGAATTCCATAGAGTATTCATGAGTTTTGTTCCCAAAGATCTAGGGAAACAAAATGTAAATATATTAGACTTTCTGTCCAATGCTGCCCCATACTATAATACACATATGGGGCAGGACCACAATTGATTTTTTTTTTCTCCAAAGGAAATTGTTTCTTCCATATTAGAATGATATATATTATACCAAAATAAAAACAGTAAAAGACCAGAGTCAAGATGTAATTGTTGGAAATTTTCTTCATTGATTCTTTCATTTAAGCCATAACTAGCAAAGGGGAAAAGGCATTCCAGAGTAAGTAAGTTCACTGAATAAAGCAGTTATGCCAGTAAACTCTGTATCTATTTTTGGAAGCATTCACACATGCAGTATTCAGCAGAAAATTCAGTGTACAGCATGACTGCAGTTGAGTATCAAAGATGAGTAATCTACATTGGGCTGGGCGGAGTCCCAAAGAATTCAGATGTTCAGTGTTGCTAATGACAAGGAATTTTTAGCTATCAGCTGTAGGAGAAGCTAAGAGAAGTTTGTACATTGACAAGCTAATTGTTAATTACAGAAATGACTAACTGTGAGGACATTATTATTGTCATTATGCCCTCTAATCAATGACTGACACTATGCAACAGGTTCTCTGTTGGGGTAAATGCATCAAACTATAGTTGTGTTTTGAGAACTTTCGTTAGCAGGAAAAAAGAAAAAGCCATTCCTTTATTTTAAAAGCTTGACTGTGCCTGGCTGTGTGATGTTATCTTCCCACTACAAAAAACATAACTGCAAATGAGCTTGTTAGAGCTGGATTAATTCATGTCTACAGTTTTAATTGCATAAGAAACTCCCACTAAAGCCGTTGGGGACACCTTGCATGCTTAGGTGCATAAGTAACCAAATGATCCTCTATAACAACCTTGAAATAGGTCATTAAACCACCATTTTTCTAATCGCTAGTTAGCATTTATATTTAGGATTTAGAAAGAGAGAGCAGTCTTTTTGACAAGACCCTCCTATGCATGGAAGGACATCTAAGACTGCTGTTTTCCTCAGACATCAGTCTCAATACCTGAGAGACCAGTGTTACTGTCAGGGGGCAAAGATGGAAGGAAGGCTAAGATCTAAGGTGAACATCAGTTCAGAGACAGAAAGTAACATTGAAGAGGGAGCATGGCTCCCCTGCACCCCCCTGCCACAGCAGTGCCTGAGACCAAAGAGACCAGGGACTTTACTGAAGCTCTGGGCAGTGAATCTGGTGGTTATGGGGTTGCTGAAAGACCCCTTTTATCTAGATTCCTATAACACACACAGTATATTTGTGGATTGAGTCCCTAAATTTTCAGATAAATCTACTAAAACTAATCAGATTACTATTATTTCTTTAGTATGTGAGTATTACTCCCATCTTACGGCTTGACAACAGAGGAAAACTGTTTATCCGAGTTGCCTTGAGCTATGTTGCAAACTGATTGAATCTTCTGGTCCACACTCCTCGTTCAGAGCAGTAGTGCTGTCAGAAAGAATTTGTGGAGTAGGTGTACTCACGGTTGTGTAGGTGTGCATTACTACAGTCCACCCACTTTTACCCTCAGGAGCTTGCAAAATACACACTGTAGTCTGCCTGAGCTCTATGTTGTGATACTTAGGAGAATTTTTCTTCAGAAGATAGTTACAATGTTAGCACAGGAAAAGTAAATCCAAAATTCTGCACATGATTAAGTCTGACTGTGTAAACACACATCCCTCTCAAGTGCTTATACCACAAGCACAGGAGAAAAAAGTAATGATGGTTTTGTGCTGTACATGTTGTATTTCCATTTTTCTTTCTTATTAAATTATGTATACATATATATGTATGTAAAGCCTATCAGTCATAAATACAATATTCAGTGCTGTTATGCTTCTAACAACAAAACTTACAGTGAGAAAGCTTTTCTGAGTTTGTCAGTGTGATGGCTTTGGTAAATTTATGAAGGTATATATTGGAAAAGATAGTGTAATCCTTTTGGAATTATTTATGCTTTTGGTATAATATATGTCATCATATGCAAGCTCTTCAGTGAATAAGGATTCTTCAGACTCTTTCCTGTTGTCTGAATCATGAACCACTGAAGTTCATGAAAACATTTATTTTTAGGTATTTCTAAACAATTTACTAATTTGACTTATTTATGACTTCTATGTCATGGGGCGAAAAGCCCTCTGCTTTCCACAGGCTTCATTATATATCTTATCTCAAAGGAAAAAAAAGCATTTGCACAACTAATTGTAGCAATTTTATTCTATCAGCACTTGCTGATGACAGCTTCTGCCTTCTTTTCTGCAAAATGAAAATCAAGTGCTTTCTTGGATTTATAGCTAAAAGTGTCTCGTTAAACCTATAAGACATGCTCACCTTCTATGATGAAAATACAAGGGAAAGTATGATTAGGGTTAGTGTATCCTCACAAGTCCTCATCCTGTATGAAACAAATCCATCCTAAAAAGTACAGTGGCTTGTGAAAAATAGATACAGGCTTTTGTAAGTATCTTGAATACATGTGCTATTCTCAAGACCTCTCTCAGGCCTGTCTTGCTTTGATTAGTAGACATTCCTGTTTTGACTCACATCTACACAACAGCAAAAAGAGAACAATGAAGCAAGTGAGAAAAAACCCACATTCCTAGTGAGATTGTAAAGCATCATCCCATTGGGTTAAAAAACTTCATCAGTCTGGATGTCAGAAGTAATCTCTCAGGGCAATAGCACACCTTGTCACCAATGCACTGAATGAAAGGTGGAAAGTGCTCAAGCCCGGAGAGGCTTGTTCATAGAGTCTGAATACTGGGCAAGCTGCTTTCTGCAGCTCTAATCTGGGTGAGAATATTTATCTACAATTCATAGATGATAAGTTCTTTAGACTATGCAGTTCAGTGGCCTAACTAAACCCAAGTCAGCTCATATATTTTCCAAGTCAAAGCACAATGCTGCCATATTAAAGTACTGCAGCTACCATAAAGTAAATCCTGAATGTGAGGGGTTTTTACAGTTGGCAGAATTATTTGGTAAGATATTCCTTCAGATAACATAACTGCTATAATATTACTAAATATTTTCCTTTTAAAGGAAGAATAGATGTATTTCTAAGAGAGTGTTCACAAGGAAGTGAATGTAGTAATTTCGGGTAAATCTTTTATAATAATAAGGAAATATGGGGGAGGTGAAGCTGTTATTTGCTGACTTCAGAATTTCAGGAGAAGGAGAATACACGTTAGCATCTTTATATTCCCTCAAGAGAGTTTAGACCCTAAAAGCTCCTGTCACAATCCCCTTTATTAGTCAGTTCTTGACACAGTGTTAATGTTAGTTCTAAATGAACCCTGAAGTAATTTGCTGCCTTTCCCAGTTGTGACTAGCAGACCACTGAGCAGAAGAATGAAATTAGAATAATTTCAATGGGATGCAGAGAGGGAGGAGTGAATGAAGTAACATACAGAGAAAAGCGTACAGTAGATAGAAAAAAGATACAAACAGTAAATAAGAAGTGCTGATCTAATTTATTCTATACAAATCTGGCTTCACTTGAATTAGCAACTATTCATGAGTACATTAGAAATAATTGATCTACATATTGGAAGTAATTTATTTAAATTAGTAGTTTTATAGAATATTTGTTGAAATTGTATATATCTAGCTGCAATGCTTTTTGACTTTCTAAGTACCTCTGAGTTAATCCATTACATTCGAAAGAGGTTTATATTTAATATTTGAGGTTGCAGTTAATATTTTTTTCATCATTGACGTAATTTTGATTTGGAAAATGTGCCAGTTGTGTGTGTTTGGTTCAATACAGCATTTAGACTGCTTTATTTTCAAATGAGATCTCTTAATGTTCACAGGATAACATAAATATTTCCTGTAACAGTGGTACTGAAGTAAGTCTAAGAGCATAAAGAAAGCTAAAGTGGGCTCCAAGTTTTGATAAATGGCTTAGTAACCTTTACACGTGGCATTTCTGTAGGACTACAGAGTGAATATATTTTTGAGACAACAGTGGAATGACTCACGTCTGGCTTATAGTGAATATCCCGACGATTCCCTGGATTTGGATCCCTCTATGTTGGACTCTATTTGGAAGCCAGATTTATTCTTTGCCAATGAGAAGGGAGCAAACTTCCATGATGTCACGACAGACAACAAGTTGCTGAGGATTTCTAAAACTGGAAAAGTGTTGTACAGCATCAGGTAAACCAGTTAATTTTTTTTTTCGTTTTTCTCTTCATCTGCCTCTTTCTCCTCACTCCCTGTTTTTCTGGAGGTAACTATACTTACAGAACATAATGTACATATTTAATTTTTTATTTTCCCATGTGTACAACGGAAATGAGATTAATAACAGCAGTGTAGAAGGAAAATTTGACGGTGTTCCTTTGCTAAGCTTTTACTTTTCACAAAATAGTCTGTAAGTGGCACAGCAGTACTTCTTAGTCTTGCAGGAAACCTGATGCTGTCTAAAACTTTAATGGTACGCCTCAATAATTCCCATCAGTGTTGGCTCAAGTCACTCCTCTTACAAACAGAGGAAATCAACTCCTCGGTAGTTTGTGAGTTGCAATTGAAAATAAAGGGGAATACTACTTTAAATAATGGCTCAACAGCCTAAGTAAAAAACATGCTTGAAATGAAATAAACTTGACATGCAAGTCACTGGGTAATAAGATGTATCTATTCATATTTTAAAATGACTGGAATTACAGAAAGCATTTTTTAATACTGCGTGCATTGAAGTGTGGCCATGTGACTGGATTTAGGCTGAATTAATAAACACTGACAAAACATGATTTGTTATGACCTGATGAAACAGGACATATGCAGAGAATCAGAATTGAATTACACGGGCATAAACAGCAGCAAATAATATGCAGTATTTATTTAAAATTCACCTTACTGTGCACTATTAATTGTTTAATATAAGTAGTCAAAGATGCAAAACACTGTATTATAGTTGCTACAATTGTTTTTTAAAAAAGCAATTACTGTGTTTTATTTGTTCCTGGGAATGTTCTTCAGCTTTTGCCTTACTTGCATTATAGAAGGTAAACATGATAGTATTTGTTTAACAGGTTGTTTAGTTAATTTACTTGTCTGTAAGGCAGATTAGTTTAGAAGGCAGTTATTTCTGACTGGGCATTCTGTTTGTGACCTGCATTTTCATGAAGGAATTATTACTGATCAGGCTGTGGACAGATCTGTTCTTTAGGATGATAAATAAATAAATTATAATGTGGTACTTCCTCTATTTGCATAATTCTTGTGGAAATTCCTTGATAAGACCCCAGTAATATTTCAATGGATCAAGTAGGGTAGAAAGGAAATGTTTATTGAGCAAGGTTTGAAATTGGTGTACCTGAACAGTTTGACAAAAATAATAGGATACAACGATGAAACTAGCACAAGCAGAGTGATAAATATGTTATCACTTATGAATATTTCTTGTTTCACCCTGGGAAAGAAATGAGTGCATCTGTTTGTTTGAGTGACATCAGACACTATCTTATTGGAGGCAACAGTGCAGTTGGGTGCTGTTCTGAATGCAGACAGATAATTTTCCTGACATTAGTCCATGAGGGAAAAGTAATATTTTGAGTTGTCATATCATATTTGTAAAATGCCCACACCTAAATGCAAATTAATGTGAAGCAGAGTAAGCAGGATTTCAATAGAGTACTAAGCAAACCCCATTGTTTCTTGTTTGTATCACACAGCAGCAACAGAGACTTACCTGGCACCTCTAACATGGTATATAATTTTTTAGTACATTCCAGGGTATGGAAAATTGGAGTCAGAAGTAATTAGAAAAACTTGTCTTTATTCTCTACATACTGGGCTAGATACATCTGTGTATTGCCAGTTGCTTTTAATTGTGCTATGCAGAAACAAATAAGAACATTTTAGTGATTGGTTTCAGTACACTGAAAATGTTACAATGCTGTTAGTTTCACTACTGCACCAATAGCATTTCACCTGACATCATGATACTTAACACTTGACATTTAGTGTGCTGTAAATGTTTAAAGCACTTCATAAACATGTCTGAGAAGTAGTGGTGTAGGCTATTTTGTCATACTTCTAAATTTAATAAAATTAAGGTCAAGTTAATCTCATGTAAATATATACTGCTCTCTGCATAAAATGAGTTTAGAACTGCTTCTAGTAATCAGTGGGTAAGAAGCAAGGTGTGTGCATTATATGACAGTGGTATTTCTTTTCCCTATATACTACACTGAAAACATAGAAACACAGAATCATAGAATGGTTTGGGTTGGAATGGACCTTTAAAGATGATCTAGTTCCAACCCCACTTCTATGCACAGGAAGAGCTTCCACTAGACCAGGTTGCTCAAAGCTCCATCCAACCTAGCCTTCAACAACATGGAAATATGCTACACAAGAGGCACAACTGGCTTATGCTGTTAAATGGTCTCAGAGCCAATCCTGCCCTTTCTGAAAAGAATGTGGAAGGTCACCTGGAACTAGATCTTACGGTGTACAATACAGATGCTCAGATAAGGCATGGAAGGGTCAGTGAGGGTCTGGCCCCTGTGTTACCCCTACTGCAGTGCTTAGCTGTGGGAATTATCTACCCTGGGGTAAGCACGAGGCTCTTTGTCCTTCTTTCAGTGAGAGATAAACTGTCCTGCATTTACTGGTGATGGTACTCATGGCATAGATTTTCATCATAGTTTGCCTTATAATAATTATAATGTTCATACTTGCAGACTCCTAGATTTATATTTAATTTTCTGGGAGTTGTTGATGGTTGATGCATCCACCTATGAATCATATAAGTTTAGGAGTCCAAGCCTATTTTTAGATACTTGCTTCATGCTCAAATGACTACCTTTGTTTTGATCTCAAATAGCATGCTATATATGCTATATAAAGCTCCAGACTCTATATCTGGATAACTGGTCTAAACCTTTGGGTACTGCAGGGAGAACTAGATTCTTGCAGAGGGAACCCAGCACTACTCAACACCACAAATACATGCTACTGCCACTAGAGATGTAACAACAGCTCTTAGAGGTGCACACATTTTGAGAAGTCAGCAGTTTCAGTGACATTATATTCAGCAAACAACCACACTTTATTCAAGATCAGTCTCAGCTGCACTTTTTGAGCTGAAAAACAGTTAAATAGCTATAACTTTTATTTTAGAGCCCTCTGCAGAAAGCCGTCGAGAAGAGGGGTTTGTTATAGCAGTGTTCAATAAAATTAGCTTGTGTATATTTTGTATGTTGAAAAAGCAATGAGAATTAAAATCAGAACCTATATAATATTACCTCCTAGATGCCTGTGACTCATCTTCTCCCAATCCTTAAATGATCTCTACATAGATTGAATTTTGCAGGGAGTCATGCACTTGGAAAGAGCGGCAGTGCTGTTCATGATACCGAGAACCCTGTTCCTGGCACTCACATTCTGTGTGACACCTAGATTTTGCATCATATACACCACTGAACTGATTTTATGTTCCAGGGGTAAGGATTGTATCTTCTCTGTCCCATTGCAGACACCTGGGACATCAGGCAAATGTTAAATAGCCTCACACAAGGCTTTGAGTTATCTCCAAGACACTCATTTGTGCTACCTGATTCCCACAAACTCTTCTCAGGCTGCCAGCCCGCTCAGAATATTAGCATCTGCTAAAAAGCTTATTTTAACAAAGTGATAGAAAGTGGAATGATTTTATTTAAGGTTTGGGTGGGTTGTTTTTTTTTTTTTTTTCTGCATTAATTGCCTCCCTCTCCTTTTAATATTTTCAGTGCATCTCAGCCATATGAGCTTAATGCAGGAGGTGATATAACTCAACCATAACATCGATCCACAGCATTGAACCTAGACTATATTGGTCAGAAAGCACGACGGGGCTCTAATTTTTTTCTTTCTTTTTTTTTTTTTTTTCCCCACCTGCTGCTCCAGAGAACATTCCCAGTTGCCTAACGAGGTTATAGGGCTGTACTCTGAAACATAGTGACAGTGCACTTAACCAGAAAGAGTTACAAAACAGATTAGCTCATAATTTTAACATGTTTTTTACACAAAGATTTCAGAATGTCTTGCATAATTGACAAAAGAGCCGCCTGGCATTCTAGGAAGGAGATTTGTGCAAATTCACAAATTATATTTCTCCCCCCATTTTTCTTATTTCTGTCTAAAGAGCAATGAAATACCTAGGAAGAATTTCCTCAAGTCTTTCAAATTACCTGTTTTTTCTGCCTTTGTTTATCTTCACAGTGCCAGAAATGTTACACTTATGTAGACAAATAGTTCTTTGTGGTTTCAACTCTTGACCTACATTTAATTGTTAGATGTTATTATGGATGAAGGCAGAGTGTCTACTGGAAAGCACCACAAAAAAGAGGAAATTCAAGCTATTAGATGGCTTTCTATTTGTGCAGCTGTTCTGGGGTGATTACTAGCCCCTCCATTCGGCAACAAGTAGCTGACAGGATGAGTTGGCACATCCAAAAGCCCTTGCCTGCTTATGTAACCAAAGAGAAGTATCTGTGAAAACAGCACATTTATTTACAGTACAGTCTCCTGTGTCAGCTTCCTTACTCAGGAGTTTCCAAAATCAGCTCTTCCTAGTGTGGCCATAGTGCTGAGCGACAGAACAGAGTCAACTTTTCCCTGCACCCCCACCATGCCAGACACCATTTTGGGTTTTATTACAAGTTATGACTACCATGTTCCTCACTAAATTACCACAAGTAATCTATAGTATGTTTTAAATTCAGCTTTTCTGAGTGAAATTTCTATATTGTAGTCTACTCTGTACTTGTGTTCTTTGCACTATGGGAAAGAAATACAAAGCAACTTAAGGAAACACATGGGTAACTGTGCTAGTCCCTCTACAACAGATTATTCATAGAGCAAAAAGTCCACTATTCTTCTGAAACATTTTGTTTTTAAATAAGGTCAGATCTTATTTTTTGATCAGGCATGGGTTTTCAAAAACAATTTCTAGGACAAGACCTTATCAGCTCTATGATAATGAAGCTCTATTTACACCTGATGAGATAGTTGTGTGTGAATCATCCATGGCATGGCACAGTCTAGCCTAACAGAGTGGTAGATATGCTCTGCAGCTTTGTGTGCATCCTGAGCTTTAATTTGATGACATTGATTTTATTTTACAATCTACTGTTGGGATTGAAGGGGATTTGGACTTTACTAACAGCATTG